TGAAATTTTTCTTCTATCTTTCGAACAAATTGATCGAAAGATTGTTCCTTCCGGATTCTTTCTCTCAGCATAAGCTGAACTTTCATTGAGTTAACCCTTCCAGTAACCTCCTTGGGAAGTGTCTTGACAACTTCAATCTGCATCCAAGCAAACTCTTTAATAAGTTGGTTTTGTTGAGTGATATAACATGCCGACCCATTCTTCACTTTACGGCTTAGGGCATCTGCTACCACATTCGCCTTTCCCGGATGATATTGGATAGTGCAATCATAATCCTTTACAAGCTCCAACCATCTCCGTTGGCGCATATTGAGCTCTTTCTGTGTAAAAATATATTACAAACTCTTGTGATCAGTGAATATTTCACACTGGCCACCATAGAGATAATGCCTCCAAATCTTGAGTGCGTGCACTACTGCTGCCAACTCTAAATCATGAGTTGGATAATTCTGCTCATGCGGTTTTAATTGTCGCGACGCATATGCAACAACTTTACCATCTTGCATGAGTACACATCCAAGACCCCTTTTCGAAGGATCAGGGATAATTAGCACTGGAGTTGATGTAAGCTTCCTCTTGAGCTCTTGGAAACTCTTCTCACAACGATCGGACCACTCGAACTTCACAGATTTTCTCGTTAAATTTGTCAAAGGGAGAGCAATTTTTGAAAACCCTTCGATGAATCTACGATAATAACCTGCTAATCCGAGAAAACTTCGAACTTCTGATGAATTCTTGGGCACTGCCCAATTCTGAATTGCTGCGATCTTTGCTGGATCCACTTCTACTCTTCTTGCAGTGATAATATGGCCTAAGAACGCCACTTTCTTCAGCCAAAACTCACACTTAGAGAATTTGGCATACAACTTCTCCTTTCTAAGGGTACCGAGAACTACCTTCAGATGTTGCTCATGCTCTTCTTGACTCTTGGAATAGACCAAAATATGATCAATAAAGACGATGACAAATTGATCTAAATACTTGTGGAAAACACGGTTCATCAAATCCATGAATATCGCTGGTGCATTACTTACCGCAAACGGCATCACCACAAACTCGTAGTGACCGTATCTTGTTCGAAACGCAGTTTTAGCTACGTCAGATTCTTTAATCTTCAGTTGATGATAGCCTGAGCGTAAATCTATCTTTGAAAATACGCAAGCTCCTCTCAACTGATCGAACAAATCATCAATCCTTGGAATCGGATATTTATTCTTTATCGTCAACTGGTTTAAATCCCGATAATCGATACACATCCTCATGGATCCGTCCTTCTTCTTCACGAACAGTACAGGTGCTCCCCACGGTGAAACACTTGGTCTGATACAACCAAGTTTCAACAACTCTTGAATTTGAGTTTTCAACTCTTGCAATTCCTTTGGTGCCACCCCGACTGTAATATCCCAATCAGTTATTAAGTTATAAGTTATAAGTTTGACTTTAAGTTGAAAGTATTCTCGGTTAAATTTTATTTAGTAATCGAGCCAGTTCATTAATTAGTTCCGGTTCGTTTACTTTTAGAAATGGATTTTATTAGTAGGGATTAATTATTTCGAGTAGTCTTATAAGTTTTATGATTAATTTGACATGAGTGTCTAAATTAATCATTTGAGTAAAATAATTTATTTAGACATTTTAGTCTATTTAAATTATTAAGAGAGAAATATGAAGGTTTTAAAATTTTCGGGTTTTCGGTTTTCGATTGTAGTCGTGAAATATGGTGCCTTCGTGAATAAGTGCCTTCATGAATAAGTGTTCTTACGGTTTTTTATAAGTGCCATCCTATATTTCGGGTTTTCATTTATCAGACCAAGAACTTAAGTTATAAGTTATAACTCTTGAATTTGAGTTTTCAACTCTTGCAAGGGTTCTTACGTATCCAAGAACTTAAGCTGTTTAGTTTGTTTTTCTTAATTTCATTCAAATACTTTTGTGATCAGTACTTAGGGATTAAGTACAGTGGTTAGCTCGAGGGATTCGAGAGATAAAAGTCCACGGGACGTGGCCAGAGAAGTAATTGATAGGATCGTGTGTAGTTGTGGCTAGACTAGAAGGGAGTTCGAGTCGTGTAAGTCCAAACTATACAAGTGTTCAATGGTTTATCAATGAAAGAGCTCTGAGGGGAAGTGGGACGCTTCCCTGAAGAGTTTTTACATCTTCGGTTTATTGCTTCTGCTATTTACGCTGTTTATCCACGTTCTTACATTGTTTTGCGCACTCGAGTTAAAAATATACGTTTCAGGCTTCTCTAGTTGCCAGATGTATGGATTCATATCGCACTCATAAGGGTCCTTAGGCTCGTTTTCTATAGCTGTAAGTGGATATTTACTGAGAGTGGTACTCGTAATCGTGAAGCATAACTAGCAACTGCTATGGATAGAGAGAGAGTAGGTGAAGCAAATGTACTAGTATTCAGAGGAAAACAAGTGTTGGATCCCTCCATATATTTTGAAGTAACAATATCAGGTATTTTAGGCCCTATGAGATGAAACTTGAGAGGGCCACTAAGGTTGGAGCCTGACGACCCAATTCCCACAGAAGAAGGGGAAATTGGTGGCAGTTGATATGGGTGGGTGATGCACAGGAATTTGTGATGGTCCCGAAATCACAGCATTAGGTGGGATTCGTAAGTTTTGATTTGCAGCGTGGTTACCAGCATTTGTTGGCACCGGAAAGGACTGACCATTTTGGGAAGAAGTTGAATGTATTTTCATTTCTGTTTCAGGTACCACGAAATTCTGTACGAGCAAATTTAGGTTGAAAGTGCCATCAGGATGAAAAGGATTGTTACACAATGTGTGTTTGAATTACAACGGGAACCTATGAACTGACTGAAATGTTCAGTTCGTACAAGAAGAACTAAAAGAAGAAATGAAAAATACAACTCGAATGCGGACAGATTAGAGCCGAGGCGATTGAAATCTTTCCGCAAGACAAATACGCCCCGTATAGTGCTGACGGGTCTGTGCGTAAGGCCCCCAAAGATACAACGTCTAAACACTCGGAAGCTGTAGCACACCAGCCTTCAGAGTTCCGGCGAAAGGGACTGAAGACGAGAACTGAGCACTTTTGATATGATGCGTGAGGCTTTGATAGTATGCAGAAGCATGCAATGTTGTGTGTTTTCCTCTGCAATTCTAAGTCCTATTTATAGGACTTCCACCTTGAGGGAGAACCAGGAGTTACATCAGCCACTAAAGGCTGAGATAAATGGGCACCATTAACCTGAAAACGTTTCAGGTATTACTCCACCATTAACCTGGTGTTACTACACCTTTAACCAGACATTAACACCCCATATGAAAGGTCAGGTGTTATATTTCACATGAAAGGTCAGGTGTCCAGATCCATTGTACTTGGAGAGGTCTGACTCGGGTTGGATCAAAACCGAGT